CCACGTACCCCGCGAGAACAGTCATGTACCGCGCGAGAACAGCCACGTACCCCGCGAGAACAGTCAGGTACCCCGCGAGAACAGTCGTGTACCCTGCGAGAACAGCCATGTCCCCACGAGAACAGCCACGTACCCCGCGAGAACAGCCATGTCCCACGCAAGAATAGCCACGTACCCCGCGAGAACAGTCATGTTCCCCGCGAGAACAGTCATGTACACTGCGAGAACAGTCATGTTACCCCGCGAGAACAGCCACGTACCCTGCGAGAATAGCAACTTACCCCGCGAGAACAGCCACGTACCCCGCGAGAACAGCCACGTACCCCGCGAGAACAGCCATGTACCACGCAAGAACAGCCACGTACCCCGCGAGAACAGTCAGGTACCCCGCGAGAACAGTCGTGTACCCTGCGAGAACACCCATGTACCCACGAGAACAGCCACGTACCCCGCGAGAACAGTCATGTACCCCGCGAGAACAGCCACGTATCCTGCGAGAACATCCACGTACCCCGCGAGAACAGTCATGTTCCCGATATAACATGTGCAGTCAACATAGACTGATCTCAATGGTAGCTATCTGCAACCAAGGCAACCCTACCTGTACACTTCCCAAGATTTTGAAAGAGAAAACACTAGCTTATAATTCATGAATATAACAAACTTTCCCAATAGTGATAGTTAGTGATACAGACATCGATACGGCTCGTTTGTAATGGATTCCGGAACTAAATATGTATCTTTGTAAACAGATCTACTTGCAACATGAACAACCGGGACGGTTAGATGATGTAGGATGAACGTGGCGATTTCAATTTTCTCTAAAATAAATTTTACTTTCTGAATGAAACACCAATGATCATAAACAACCTCCATACCACACAACGAAACATAGCTAGACCAATGATCTTAAACAACCTTCATACATAACACACAACGAAACATCGCTACACCAATAATCATAAACAACCTTCATACCAAACAACGAAACATCGTTACATCAATAAACATAAACAACCTCCATACCACACAACGAAACATAGCTACACCAATAATCATAAACAACCTTCATACCACACAACGAAACATCGCTACACCACTAATCATAACAACTTTCATACCTCACAACGAAACATAGCTACACCAATTATTATAAACAACCTTCATACCAAACAACGAAACATCGTTACACCAATAATCATAAACAACCTCCATACCACACAACGAAACACGTCACACCAATAATCATAAACAACCTCCATACCACACAACGAACCATAGCTACACCAATAATCATAAACAACCTTCATACCATAAAACGAAACACGTCACACCAATAATCATAAACAACCTCCATCCCACACAACGAACCATAGCTACACCAATAATCATAAACAACCTTCATAACACAAAACGAAATACGTCACACCAATAATCATAAACAACCTCCATACCACACAACGAAACACGTCACACCAATAATCATAAACAAGCTCCATACCACACAACGAAACATAGCTACACCAATAATCATAAACAACCTTCATACCATAAAACGAAACACGTCACACCAATAATCATAAACAACCTCCATACCACACAACGAAACACGTCACACCAATAATCATAAACAAGCTCCATACCACACAACGAAACATAGCTACACCAATAACCATAAACAACCTTCATACCACACAACGAAACATCGCTACAACAATAATCATAAACAACCTTCATACCACACAAAGAAACATCGCTACACCAATAAACATAAACAACCTTCATACCACACAACGAAACATCGCTACAACAATAATCATAAACAACCTTCATACCACACAAAGAAACATCGCTACACCAATAAACATAAACAACCTTCATACCACAAAACGAAACCCGTCACACCAATAATCATAAACAACCTCCATCCCACACAACGAACCATAGCTACACCAATAATCATAAACAACCTTCATACCACAAAACGAAACATCGCTACACCAATACTCATAAACAACCTCCATAACACACAACGAAACATCGTTACACCAATAATATTAAACAACCTTCATACCACACAACGAAATATCGCTACACCAATAAACATAAACAACCTTCATACCACACAACGAAACATCGCTACACCAATAAACATAAACAACCTTCATACCACACAACGACACATCGCTACACCAATAATCATAAACAAGCTCGACCCCACACAACGAAACATAGCTACACCAATAAACATAAACAACCTTCATACGACAAAACGAAATATCGCTAAACCAATACTCATAAACAACCTCCATAACACACAACGAAACATCGTTACACCAATAAACATAAACAACCTTCATACCACACAACGAAACATCGCTACACCAATAATCATAAACAACCTTCATACCACACAACGACACAACGCTACACCAATAGTCATAAACAACCTTCATACCACACAACAAAACATAGCTACACCAATAATCATAACAACCTTCATACCACGCAAGGAAACATCGCTACACCAATAATCATAAACAACCTTCATACCACACAACGAAACGTAGCTACACAAATAATCATAACAACCTTCATACCACACAACGACACAACGCTACACCAATAATCATAAACAACCTTCATACCACACAACGAAACGTAGCTACACCAATAATCATAACAACCTTCATACCACACAACGACACAACGCTACACCAATAATCATAACGACCTTCATACCAAACAACGAAACATAGCTATGTCTCGTTGTATGGTACATGTATGAAGGTTGTTATAATCAGTGGTGTAGCTATGTCTCGTTGTGTGGTGGGAAGGTTGTTATAATCAGTGGTGTAGCTATGTCTCGTTGTGTGGTGGGAAGTTGTTATAATCAGTGGTGTAGCTATGTCTCGTTGTGTGGTGGGAAGGTTGTTATAATCAGTGGTGTAGCTATGTCTCGTTGTAGGGTACATATATGAAGGTTGTTATAATCAGTGGTGTAGCTATGTCTCGTTGTGTGGTGGGAAGGTTGTTATAATCAGTGGTGTAGCTATGTCTCGTTGTAGGGTACATGTATGAAGGTTGTTATAATCAGTGGTGTAGCTATGTCTCGTAGTGTGGTGGGAAGGTTGTTATAATCAGTGATGTAGCTATGTCTCGTTGTATGGTACATGTATGAAGGTTGTTATAATCAGTGGTGTAGCTATGTCTCGTTGTGTGGTATGGAGATTGTTATAATCAGTGGTGTAGCTATGTCTCGTTGTGTAGTGGGAAGGTTGTTATAATCAGTGGTGTAGTTATGTCTCGTTGTGGGGTATGGAGGTTGTTATAATCAGTGGGGTAGCTATGTCTCGTTGTGTGGTATGGAGATTGTTATAATCAGTGGTGTAGCTATGTCTCGTTGTGTGGTGGGAAGGTTGTTATAATTAGTGGTGTAGCTATGTCTCGTTGTGTGGTATGGAAGTTGCCTTAATCAGTGGTGTAGCTGTGTCTCGTTGTCACCTTTCTGGTTTTCATTTTGAGGACACGGCATTGTTGATATTTGACAATGATTTTCATGGCAGGTGTGGCCGGTGAAGCGGAAGATTTGTACCCTTTTTGAATATTGTATCTTAAACTCCCTTTTATTGTGTTGTCGTGGAACTTAATATGATTTATTTCATTTTGTTGTTGTTGTTGGTACTTTGCACTGGAAGTTTGGTTCCTTTTAAAAATATTTTAAAATGACTACTCAAATACATACTAGCAGTACATTACTTTCAAGAGCGATTTTATTCTACATGTGTTTTAGAGTCAAATACGTAACTTTTATAAATACAGTTGAGAGAAAACACAAACAAGGGTGATAAACCCCAAAAGAAGAATCACAAATAAGGTAATGGGCTATACCTGATTAATCCTGTGAGAAATAGGTTATTGTACTTCACGTATGACCCCGCGCTCGTCAGGTATCATTAGAGGATGGCACCACACTGACAGCGACATTTCGCTGTACATTTAAGGCCGTCCGCGGTCACTCCAGACATGCATCGAACAATTGGAAGCTAGAAATTACAATAGAATAGTCGAGGCCTTACAGACAGAAAAAGTCTTGCTGGGCACTTCTGACACACATTTAAGTATTTTGGCGAGTTTTATTCATAGGCAGCATTTTCTGAGAATTTGTGACTTAAGTCTCTCTTGAAGAGAAATACGAAATCCATGAATGCGATCGATGTAGGGGCTTGTTGCTATTCTAATAAGGCAATCAAAATGTATGCAATACACAAAATATGTCATTACAAATATCCGTCTGAGTGAGATAGTAACGGGAGGATCACGGCGGGGCCCCACGTCACATCTTAATTAAGGGGAGTTATCCCTCGCTTCTACAGTTCAAATAACTTATACATAAAACATGACCACTACATCCCGGCAATCTCAGTGTAGGGGACGCTCCAGATCTGCCTAGGTCGTACACCGTCACTACCTAACCCGCTTGATTTGAATGTCACGATTTCTGATGTCACTCGCTGCATGTCGCTCCGTCTGGTGCACACGTCGCTTTTAGATGCAGTAGTCTTGGCAGCTATACTATTAGCCGGTCGCTGATTGCGCGTCTTTTCCGCCTTCGTGTAACACGGTTCGTATGTGATTTCTGCCAAACACAAAATTCTGCACAGGTTTTTTCTCTGAAATTGAGACGATATCTTTAAGAAAGAAAAATAGGTTAACCCTTTTCGAAATTATTCTCTGGTTGTCATAAACATGTTCTCTGAGCGATGTGTAAGTTCGGGGACGTAACGCCGTTCAATCCGGTTCGTTATTACATTATGCCTGGTACTATTTCTTTGATTCTGTGATCAATGCAAGCTGCAAAAAGTGACAGAAACCGTTTTCTGGGTGTTGTTACCCTAGTAACGACACCTGACAACATTGTGTGCTGTATCTCCTTTTAACCCTGTGGTTGGATTGATTTCTTGTTTATTGCCATCTCACGTGATTTTCTACCTGGAATAATGGAGAAACAGGAAAAGTTACCCCTGGGACCTACTACTCCCATTCTTGACGGAACAAAGGTCATAGCCGAAAAGGAGACGGAACCGGAAAGAGAAACATGGGGGAAGAAGATCGACTTCCTTTTGTCTGTGGTGGGATTTGCTGTGGATCTGGGGAATGTTTGGAGGTTTCCGTATATCTGTTATAAGAATGGCGGAGGTAGGTATAAACTACTAATAACCAATAATCCCACCTTACCAATTAATGTAGCGCATGTTTTAGTCTTTGTTCATATAAAAAATACTTCAGATAATCAAAACCACTACATCGCATTCACCAATATTTTACTAAGATATCAGTGATCAGTGTTAATTATTATTCGTTGCGCGAAACCATCAACAGCCGTTCTACATAGTTAGAATACTTTAAAAATAAATTTTAATGTGATTATAGAAAATATGCCACGATAAAAGCAAAGGCGGCATTTGCTAAGAAACGCATCTCTCTATATATATCAAATATTGATATCAACACTTATTTTAATCACTTGTACTCGGTAGTACAGTAATGCAAGTTATAGTGACAATCTCACTTGGGAGAGAGTCTCAACATTTTCTCAACTTTAATCAAGCACAGTAAAGTTTTTTACTGTTAAATTTATGTAATTTCCGCTTAATCATTAAAAAAACATGTCAATTTAGAGTCGCATGTCTTTTCAGGGAGTTGGAACATTTTGAAAATAATCACAAAAAGATACGAAGTAAGTCATCAGCCAATACAAGTTTAGTTTCTTGATTTTACATCATCACATGGCCATTTCGTAATTTTAGGCTTGATCATTGGTACTAAGGCTCAGAGATTTTAACATCCTTCTCAAAGTGTATAGAAGCATATACAGAAATACATCAAAAAGTGCCTAAAAACCTGTGACACGTTACAAAATTATGTACCACTGCCACAGATAATTTATTACTTAACTCACGTTTTATCGTAAATGTGCTGACGAAAGTCCAGCTAGATGACATTGGCAAAATTCGGGGACTGATTTCCCTCCAACAGCTAGTCGACCAGCTTATTGCGTGAACTAATTACAAGGAATACGAAGGAAAGAAGCTCGTTTGTAGATGAAAAAAGCCAAACAAAGATTTAGTTTGCACTATGTAGCCTTTTCTCATCTGTGGTACTAAGGCCTTAAGCATGAAAATACATGTCAAAATTGTTCCGAAACAAATGTAGAAAATAAGTCCCGTAGGATTTCAGTAAAGTGATAACAAATATCAAGAACGGTAACGCAGTGGGTACCGTACCTGCTATTAAGAATACAAGATAAGAATAGAATGGCCGGAGATGCTTTTGTGAAAAAAAGGTTGTACAATAAAAGTATATTTTTTGTATATAACTGTTTCTGATAGTTAATGTTCAAGCAAAGTTCTAGACAAAACACAGGCCGCTGGGAGCCGGGTCTGACACCGGATACGCTACTTTATACATTCTAACCAGCGAAATATCAAATTCTATCAAATTTATAACACTGGTATATTTCACACTGTGATAATATGTGGAACAGGGGAAAAAAATCACTTTTGGTATCGACCAATCAGAAAGTCTTTTACTATTCACTTCCTTGCAGCAGATTTTATGCTCAGATACAAATGAGGCGAATGTAAAATAAGAGTTTGTTTTTGGTAAATCTTTGCTACCTACAACAAGGTAGTTATTTACCTAAGCAATTGCTTATGTTTTATTCAACAAATTTTAATAAGCAAATATACAAACGGTAGGTTTTTGTAGTAAAGCCAATTCCAAATGGCGCGCAGCCTTGTTGTCAAGCGTAACGTGATTTGAATAAGGGGCGAAAGATTTGATACTGTACAATTTTTGTCGTTGTAGGTAGTTTGTTATGTAATAAGTAGACAATTGCATTCCATAAATTCATAGGTATATTTAGCCATACTCGTGAATATATTTAAGCATTGAACTGTTTTTGTATGGTATTTATGATCTATTATAGCGCGCATTATGTTGTTTGCTTGCAAAGCTGTGTCATTCAAATAGATCATAAATACCATACAAAACAGTTCAATACTTATATTTACGTTTTCTCTGCCTCTTATGTTCTTTTTTAACTTATAATTTATATTTAAAATTCAAAATGCCCGCCTTATCGACAGTCCACAAAATTTCGTTCAAAAGTTTGAACAGCGTGTTTGTCGCGTGCTGATTGGCAAACAAAGTATTACTTTGAAATTTTAACAAACACTTCAATTTTATTCCACAATTCAGTATCAATACAATTGCGTATGATATGTCTATAGGGTGATTTAAGTTTATCAATAGAACTCTGAGCTGAAAGTTAGATTTGAAATTATTTCGATTTTTCCCCGGAACAAATTTCGCGCATGGACAAATACATTGAACACCATAAATCCGACCTTGCCCTCCACGTACGAGGGAGTTATTTTTGGAAGTTAATTCGAACTTTTCTCTTTGCTCATTTTGTGAAGAATCCAGGCGTGAGTATATTTGTTGATTGTATGGTTACCTGACAATAGTCGGTAGATTCTATAACAGCCTCGTTATTTGACATGTTGTCAGAAACTGAGAAACCGTGGATGCGAGACGCGTGAAACTGATAGCGTTTGAAGTGAGTGATCTTGCGACGGAGCACAGGTTCGTTACAAATGTTTGTGCTGTGACTCATATCAATAGATCTGTAACATATATGTCAGTAGGTCTATAGAATATGTGTATTTCAGACATTTGTAACGAACCCCTGTTGATCAGTGCATTGTAACAGACGATATTTCTGATAAATTGCATGAGCGTAAAAAATCCATTGCCGGCATTGGTGATTTCAACCGATGTGCATTTCATTTTTTTATTTTGCACATAAATTTACAATGACATTGTCAAATCTCACAATGCCCAGCGATATTTCAGCAGTCGTCATGTTTATTTATATTGGATTAATACGCTTAGAATTGTGTCTCGTGATGCATGGTAATTAAAGTCCCATCAACGACACAGCTTTCAAAGAGGCTATATAGTGACAATGCCATGCAAATGTAAATATAAGGTATTCAACGGGAATCAAATACATATCCTCGATATCTTTTGTCACATCATCACGTGGTAAATATATTTTTACACTCTGTAAAGATTTTCCAATCCAGTAACTATTTGGGTTGCCGTGGAATAACTTTGTCCTGCAACCCCAGAGTTGTCCAAAACCTCACAATCTTATCATAGAACAACAGGTTTAGCCTAAATATCGTCGATGTTTATGACGTATGATAGCTATTTAATATCATTAAGAATGTGGACAGGGCATGAAAATGACGTGTATCATTCGCAATCAAATGTGATTGAAATAAATGTTAAGTTGAAATATCATTAAAAATAAATAAATACTAAGGGATACAAAACAGATCCCTGGCGACATCCGGCATCCGGCATCCGGCATCCTAACCCTAAACGAAACGCTATATGTTCACATTTTCAAACGAAAGTATGAGAGAGTGGTGCATTTACTTGACTGTTACGTGAATAATTAGGCAAGAATCCGGATTTGAAGTTATATATCAACTTTATATGTCTGTATTATGTCTCAAACGTCCGAGGGACTTCATTACTAATGAACATCGATGGACAGTTATTATAAAATAAGTTTTCTTTTGTATCTCTGCGTCAACATAGTCACGGTAACGAGTATACAGGCTAATTTTGTTTCGAACAGAAACAGGAATTGAACACTTGTTTCCTTTCGACTCTAAACTCGCTAAGCCACAGTGTGCCGAATCAGTAATGTCAGCTGTCAAACGTTCACCTACTAACACTCTTGATGAACAGAGACGAAGAAGGCCAGCAGCTGAATCATCTGTATGACCCCGTGTTAACATCCTCTAATGAGTGGAATGGGTAACCGTGTTACCCGTCCCCCTGTCTGCCTGCAGTATTTGAGTGCTATTGGGCGAAATGTCTCTATGACTTTTGACAGCTGAATTTACTGATTCACCGGTTATTTACACTCTATGCTTGAAAAAGGAAACAGACTTTTTCAAAACCTCGCAATCTAAGTTTTCGAATCCTCTTTGTGTTTAAAACAAGTTTAGCATTTATTGATCATTGTAATGGTATTAATGTTTTCGTTATCTAAGAATTTTGCTCGTTTAATCATACTGGCTTGTGTTTTAGCCGTAAACGAGGTTTTCAAATCCCCCTTGTTTAAACATTTACCGCTTTCAAGAGTTGTTTTATCAAAGATTATCATTTTAACTGTGTATTTGTGTTGACATTCATCAACCGTATTTAAAGTAGAGAGTGTTGTAAGACAATCACACAGGCCATTGGCATCTGTAAAAACGTTTAGGATGTCTTTCCATTGTTTCTATTTAGTGGACTATTTATCGGTACAAGCTCTATTATGAAAATATGTCCATTTTTGACACCCCTGCATTTGGGGATCGAGAAAAGAATGCACCTGCTGTTAACCACGGCATGTATCATAAGAGGCGACTTATGGGAACCCATGCAGAAACTTGTAATTTGCATTTGTGCCCAGCAGCTTGTGGACACGGAAGCGACTACACTAAATCTGCTTCTAACTACCTTTTATTTCCTTGAGCCTTGATTGGCAACACATCACTTTTGGCTCCAGTTTCGAGCGTTCGCCCAGGTGAGAAGGGTTAGGATTAAGGTACTGTATGTCCTCAGGTCGGGAAATACCAAAGTCCTTAAAAATGGTACTTGTTTCTGCCTGCTTAACGTTCAGTATTTCGGGAAATGGCAGCAGCTGGTTCACCCGTTGTCAGTCTAATGTGATCGGGCGGAATGGTGTGCTGGGTGCCATTTCAGTGACCTTATCTGTTAATAAGATAAGACGCTAAATAAAACCAAACCAAACCCATTCTTTAATACAACGCATGTGTCTGCTAACAGCGCCAAAACCACACAATCTGTTCTGAAAGTTTATTGTAAAATGAATACGATTTTTAAGAATAGGAGTTTATTTCCAAAAAGATTATTTTTATTTCTTGACTTTGAAATCAAGGCACTAACGTAGCTAATAAAATATAGAAAATATGTGATAATCCATGACTGTACTATAGGTAACCTATACTTTTTTCCCCCCGATTTTCCGACGTTCGGTTTTCTTTCAGCACATCTACCTCTTAACCTCCTTTTATATGAACGTTTTAGTCCATGTTGTGTTTCATGCC